GGTACTAGTGATACATACCAGTACTGGAGGGGAGTCTTGGTACTCATGATACTGTTTGATCCTTGCCTCACGAGTTTCCTAGACAAGAAATTTAAGCAAGAGTTTAATTCTGACACAACAGAATTTCTTAACTGTTCATTTAGACTCGTGTAACATGATCGCTGTTCACTGTATATGCAGTAGGTTGTGATGAAGTCACCAAACCCCATTGATCAGTCAGAATTTTCAAAATAAAGTTATCAATTTCCTTGGCACCAATACTTTGGTTTGCAAATAAAACCTAAGATTGCTGAATCAATCGTTTAAATGTTCATATCTAAGCTACATAAGGTTATTTTGTCTATAACCACCTTCAAACTTCATAAGTGTAGTTTACCTCAAATCTATCTGGTATCAATAACCTGTAGCTCAGAACATATTGAAGTCTGTCTAACAAAGATATCAAAACCGATCTTTATGTTGAGCTTTGCAGCAGGATACTTTCTGTACAAATGTATGACAATACATGTACTACATGTAGATCTAATGTTTCTTTATTACCGCCAAATGCTAGCTATTATCTTATGGAGAATATACTCTATATCATTATCATGGGAATTTCTTGTTAACATGTATTTAATTATATAAACTGTATATAACTGTGTATGTAGCTAGGTCCCTGGTAGTTAGCCCTGATAAACTTACCCCCATGTGGGTGCTGCTGGATGTAGGATCTATGTAGTGGGCGTTGATGTTGAAGGGGATTAGGTTAAGGGCGAAGAAGCTGGGTGGGTAAACAATGGGCATGTCATTGGTAGTGTTGATGCTCAATGTAGCCACGTTACTGCCTGCGCTCGACCCAATGTATGGAACTCCGTCCTGGCAAACCAGATAACTTATGATGGAAATGTTGCAAACAGAAATTGACATCATTCATACACAATATAAATATTTTTTGTTTGTTTAAGGGAGATAACTCTGAAATATTTCAATTACACAAAATCTTAATGTCTAGATTTTCAATATTATTAAGGGACCCCATCTTCTGTAGACGCTGTCTTCACATCACCTTAGCTGTTGGATGGACCAAAATCGTTTTAGAAAGAGAAGAATAAATTGCTTTCTTAAAGGAAATTTCTAATGTGAAATATGGGTGTATGATGAAGGTTTATATTCCATTTCTCAAGTGTATGCCAGGTGTTTAGTGCTGTACAGACCTGCTCCACCCTGCGTCTGATCTCCTCCAGCACCCCCTCTGTGTACAGTGCCTTGAGGAGACGGAAGGTGTTTCCTCCTCCTACAGGAACAAAAACCAACACCAGAATAAACACTGTTACAAGTCAAAGATGTCTGACATGGTTGTGCCCAATATAATGACGCATTTTTAATATTTTACAGAATACGTTAATTGTTTCAAAGGTACATGTATTAACAGAACACAAAATATCAAAAAGGTTTCTTTGAACTTCTAGATGCAATCTCGTTCTAACCTTTTTCAAGTGAAAAATCCATCAAAAAATAAATAAAGCAATGCATATTGTAACTGGATACAGTAGCTTATTTCCAAAAGACCACCAAGGCTACCTTGTCAATTTATGTTTCAATATGCAAGTCATACAACATACCAGATTACACAAGTATAATACACCTTTTTATTATCAATGAAAATGTGGAGAATAAACTTCTTATCAATTTGAGGATATACATAAACTTAACATTAGTCAATGTTCTTAACCTGGTCAATAAGAATGATTTAAAAATACTAGCACTAGCAGGATAGTACAAATACCTATAGTCATGGTCATGTGGCGCAGTGGATAGCGCACTTGCCTTTCACCAAGACGTGAAAAGGTATTGGGTCACCTGCCCGACCACGTGGGTTTGCTCCGGGTACTCCGGTTTCCTCCCACATTAAGACCCCTGCGCGCTAACATTCGGGCCAACAAGAGTGATATATATATCTTGAAATAACTCGTTTCATAATTGTTGTAAAATAAATAAAGTTAACATTTACCTATAAACACAGCTTCAGCTTTCTTGACGGCCTCCAGTGCGCTTGGCTGTGTGTGGATACTGTCCAGTTCATATCCTACAAACAAGCCAAAACCAGTTAAGTATGGGTGTGTGTAGGTCATGATCATCACCTACAACTTAGTGTGGGTTGACCAATTTTGGAGGGGTTAGGGTTTGTTTTACCTAACAGGTAAGGTTACATTATGTTACACACAACACAGCGTTTCTAAAGTACAAGCAGATTGTTCCTATATAATCTAAAGCAATGGTTGAGAGCATTATTAAAATGATCAAGAGAATGTTATATTTGATAAAGTTTAAGATGATTTAAAACACAATGGTGCTAATAGTACACAAACATGATAACCACTGAGATCTGGGTTCAGGTTTTGATACGCAATGTAGCAAGTTCACTTTTAAGATGACACAAATGAAAACTTACCCATTGTATTGAACGCTTTCTTAGCAACGTTGGCATATTCATCTTGATCGTGCAGAGCATACGGTACAAATAGAACCCGCTTCACCTGTCTGTACAGTAAAACAACTTGTCAATATTGTATCTGTACTAACAGCTGTTTTTGATGTGATTAATATAAACATTGAAAAGTAGTTACTAATATAACAGAAAATATGGGGTGGGGTTGGGTGTCTAAAAAGTACTTGGGTCCCCAAGGGCATGTAAATGGTTGAGAAAGTGACCAAGTATGAAACATGCACTTGAGTACATGTATGTAGGTAAGTTCGCCTTAGTATAGGGCTGAAATCTTTCGTTGAGAAGTGTTGTATAGTGATATTTTCTTGCGAGTCATATTGAACTATTTTTGCTTCCCTGTATCGCGATACACTTACAATAATGAAATTATCAACAAATTTCTTAAGTTTAAAAATTGTACTTATTATACTTAAAATTGTACTTAAAATACCAAAAGTACTGGATATCATACAGAATCATCACGACCAAACTCTGTAAAATCCTACCCTCAAACAGTATGAAGTTGGTTTTTAAGCAGATATGTGTATCATGGTACATTGTAATGATTGTATATTGTAAGCATTGTACTGCAATACATATCCTATGTTGAGGAAGGCATACAATTTTAGCCTTACTCATCAGGGCTTTAGGCATGCATCCTAATCATTTACTATAACAGACAGAAATAAAATGATATAACATCATAGTTTTGAATTTAATTCCTTTTTTTACCGTCTATGATCACTCTTGACTGTAAAGAATGAAGGATTGTATGGTCTGGGTTTGGTTTTATTGTTTTTCTGCTGTTGTATTCCACTTAGGAAGGAATGGGGTGGAACAGGACTGGGTTAAATGCTGTTGACCAGGAAAGTCAGTTTGAGTGTCCATCTAGAGACCATAGGTCCCGGGAATGAGTTTCAAATCCCATTGTGGTCATTGAATTTTTCAACTCCAGTTACAATTACATGCACAGGAATGAGAACCCTTTGGTTGTTGTGGTGTTCGAGGGCAAACACATTTTAAAAAGAGGGGAGTAGTGTGGCAAATCTAATTGTACAAAGGATTACGGTTGCATTCTAGATTTGAACTAGAGGGATTATGAAAAGTTCTTTTTTACACAACCAATAACATTTTCTATGTGACGTTTTGCGATGACTAGTACGATATGTACAATGTCACCTTCATCAGACAAATGACCAGTTAAGCGTAATGCACACAAAGGTGTAAAATATGTACAAGTTGTCCACAAAATTGATGTCGAATTCGGCTACGCTGTATGTACAATAGTTGCTAATATGTACCGAAATGACTCAATCCAGCTACGCTTTGTAAACACTTGGTCATAGATGTGCAAGAGTCTTTGAGCCCCCTTGTCTCTAATTAGAACTGGCCCACTGCGGCGTATCCCTATGGCTTTCTTAATTTTATTGGTTGCGTAAAAAAGAACTTTTCATAATCCATACTTACCAACCTGAAGAAAATGTTTGGAAATATTTGAACTAGAGGGAACTAGAGGGAATTTCCCTTAAGCTTGATCGGTAGAGTGACAGATGGGGAAGATCAGGGTAACAGGCACTCAATTCTGGTTTTAGGGGGGCAGGTATTACACTATACAAACTGGAAATGAATTCCTGATGGCGCCTGGCACAGATTCAAAATTCACAATTTCACACTCCTGTCTTCAAACTCCTATCCAGCTGCTATAACCAATTGGTGTATCAAAGTTATTGTCTAGGTCATTCTTATGTTTGGTCCGGCCAGGGGTCGAGGCCATTATATGTAAGAGATAATAAATGCTGACCCTTGTTTTCTTACCTGTGTCTATCAGCCAATCAGAATGCCGCTATACGTGACAAATTCTCTGCTGATACAATATCAACTTTAAAGGCAATTCAGGTGTGTTTTAGCCTTAAAATCACTGACAGCTAGGACATGAGCACACTTGGATTATAAACTTTATGGTACCCTTGATATTATCATTCCTCATCGATTTTACAGTGTGTCTGATTGGTTTAAACACATCACATGACAGGATTACAAAACATTGAGTCTCCCTGACTGACTCACGCGATCCATTTTCCCTGTCGAGTATCCGTCTCCGAACCCCTCGCACATCATCGGACAAGTTGTCTCTCTTTGTTAGACTCTCTAATGCCCGATGTGTACCGGACGACACCCACACATCAACAATGGCTGCGACCGGGAGATTCCACCACCCAACAGCTGAAGAACTTGAAGGGCTATAATTGTTGTTCAATTTGATGTAAAATCAAAACACTGACAGGTTTTTGTAGTATATATATGCTACCAGACCTAATGAAATAAGGGCGAACAGGTCAGTCACAACAGTGACAACACAGGGGATCGTTGCATTGCCTAACGTTGATGTATTTTTGTTATATGTATTTATAACACAGACTTCACAGATTGAATATCAGAATAATAAGACAGTTATTGCCATGGTGTGATGGAGACCTGAAGAGTCGTTCCCCCTTGACAAATCATGTTTCCCTCCCCTCTGAACTCTTGACAGAACTCTACCTTTTGAGCTACCTGGTCGCTGACGATCAGCCCAGTCTACATGTAGTTCCCCTGCATTCCTCCCTACTTTAACAAAATCTTTGACTACCGAAGACACACAAGACCCTATACCAGCTAATGTAAGTTACCACCTTCTGTACGCGTGGGTATATTTCGTTTGGCTCCAAATGTACAGTAAGTACAAGTTTAAAATACACAGCCAGACCGACCTTCAAACCCAGGACCCTCCAAACTCTAGACAAGCGCTCCACCAATTGAGCTACCTGCATGGTTGCCAAGAGTATGTAAACAAATAAAAATTATTTTCCTAACACTTTCATCCTCTCACCAGGATTTAGTGACAGAACATCGATCAAAACATAAAATGTGTCCAAACCGTAGCCCGAGTTTAGCTGGCCCTGACAACTGACTTCTAAAGACATTTTGACGGAAGTCCAAACAGGTAAAATGTACTTTCGGTTTCGCAGGTTTGGTTTGCAATTTTAAACGAGACAGTATTTTTACCTGAGGAATGTCTTGATCTGGTCGCTGCAATGTTCGAGGTATCCACCTCCGTGTAGAGTTGAGTTGGAGATCAAAAGTAGTCGCCGCGTACCCATATTATCTGAAGCTGTTTCGTTCGGTCACACGTGAAGCGGAGAGCAAAGTGAAAGCGGAAGTGACGTTAAACACATACTTAGATAAAGACAAATCCCGCCAGATAGGAATCTAGATCTTTCTTACAAATTTTTTTTACATTTATATTTACGGCGATACTGCAAAGGGCCGTCGAACAGCATCAACTTGCAGGTAGACTTGTGTGGCGTGGCTTCCACATAAGTTCGTTAAAACAGGTTAAAAAGTTAAAACTATTTACAGGATCCACATTCACTCTGCAAGATGACTGTGGAGCGAGGTCTTGAATGCCTCCACAGTCAGCTGCTCGACGACCTCTGATGGTAGTCCATTCCATTCCATGATGGTGTTTGGAAAGAAGCTGTATTTGTAGGTGTCGGTGTTGCATCGTATGTTGATATAGCCATGGTTATGTTGTCTCCTTCCACTTCTGGCTTTACTACTGATATATGGTGGTATGATCAGTGCGTTGGTGTTGTGGATGCCTTTGTAGAGGTTGGTTAGTCGACTTTCCTTCCGTCTCTTCTGTAGGGGTGGCCAGTGTAGCTCGAGCAACATCCCGGTTACACTACTGTAACGCGAGTAATCGCCGGTTGTGAATCGAGCTGCTCGCCACTGGACTCTTTCTATTGACTTCTGTTGGTTTTTCTTATGTGGATCCCAGACTGAAGCTCCATATTCAAGGTTTGGTCGGATTAGGGTCAGGTAGGCCTTCTCTCTCACTTCCTGTTTGCATTTTCCAAGGTGGCGCCTCAGGAAGGATAGTAATCCGTTGGCCTTTGTGGTCATCTGGTTGATATGTTGCTTCCAGTCCAGGTTGTTGGCTATTTCCACTCCAAGGTATGGGTTGTGCTCTACTACTAGGAGGGTACTGCCATTGATGTTATAGTCGGCTCCTGTTGTTACGTTGGTTTGGGATCTTTTCATCCTCATCGTGTAACACTTCTTGGCGTTGAATTTCATCAGCCACTTGTTCGACCAGCTGACCATTTTGACTAAGTCATCCTGTAGCTGGTGGGTGTCTGCGACGGAGTCAATGATCCTGAATAGGAGGCAATCATGTAAGAATAGCTTGACAGCAGAGGTGATTCCTGCGCCGATATCGTTGACGTATAGAAGGAACATCAGGGGACCTAGGACTGTCCCTTGGGGGACCCCTGACTCTACTTTGACTTCAGCTGACGATTCTCCATCGAGTACAACTCTCTGCGATCTCTTGGTAAGCCAGTGTTGTATCCATCCATGGGTTTCCTGCTGTATCCCATAGTGGGACAACTTCTCCAGTAGTCGTCTAGTTTTTAGAAATTGTATTCATATAAAAACTGAATCAGTCGACTATATAGAAGTGTCATCCAACATTGCTAAGTAGGCAAGAATCATTTTGATCATGAGATGATACGTGTAATGTAAAAACACAGGTAAGTCAGAGATGTCTTATAATAATTTGTACTATCATGATATCAGAGACATAAATTACATAATACATGTTTCCTATAATATCTTTATTCACTAACACTTAATTTTCTACAGCGCATGCGAATCATTGCACAACTCACGCTGATCTACACTGAGGACAACCACGCCGTATCCAGGTCCCACAGCAGACAAATCTAACAGCAATCAGATGGAAGAAAACTCGAGGGCACACATGTTTAGACAAAAACACAGACAGATCTACCTTTTTACTCCTTTTTCCTCGCAGCATCGTTGACTGGCAAATCTTAAAGCTTACGTTTAACACCTAACTGAACAACCTCCCTAACGAATCATCTTTTAGTTAATAACTTATGAACTCTTAGTAATACCACGGACTTACATAACTAATCTAATTCCGTGGTAATACAAAACAAATCAAGACGTAAAACCACGTACGGACTTGGATTGTATTCTAACATACTTGAACTTACTTGTAAATAAACATCATGGAAATTGACAAACGTAACACAATATTTAAAAGCCGTGGAAAAAAGTACCAACATGGTTTCAGGGCAGGTATATGTACCACACAATTTCTCGAAAGTCTAAAGGACTAGACAACAATATAACAACTGATATTATTCATCTGAATTATTGTAAAGCGTTTGATTAAGTGTCGCACAGATGACTTGTGTCCAAACTGAAATCAGATGGTGTTGGCGGATCAGTCTTGAAATATATCAAAGCATTCCTTCAGGAACTCAAACAGCAAGTGGTCATAAATGTATCAAACATCTGTGACAAGTGGTGTACCCAAAGGAAGCGTTTTGGGACCAATTATATTTCTACATTAATGACCAATTACTCAGTTCAGCAAAGCTGTTTGTGGATGACTCAAATATATATAGACGTGTAGAGAATCAACTATACCAACAAATGTTACAAACGGACCTTGATTCTGGGTGTACTTGGACGTCACAATGGTTGATGAAACTAAACTCTGAACAATGTAAGCACCACAGGATTGGTTAAAAAAACAGCACAATATTCAATAGAATACGATAATTCGATATCTAAAATTATACATTAAAATTAGTCGCTTAAAAAAAGGTGGTGGTATCATCACCGACAATTCCTTGTAATTTAATGACCATAAATATCAACTTCTGTTTCAAAAGCCAACATGATCCTCGGCCCAAAATTCAGGACCTTCACATATGTAGATAAAACAATGATTATGACATTATATAAGTCATTTGTCGGGCCACAATTAGAATACTTGTCCGTTGTCTGGTCTCCATGTCTAAAAATGACAAAATGCTGCGGGAAATGTGCAGCGCGGAACAGCCAAAATGGTTCACAGCCTAAAAATCTCTCTTATCCTGAAGGACTCCGCAACACTCGGATTACAAACCTTGGAATACCGACGTGAGAGACCAGACGATATCCAGCTCCTCAAAATGAACGAATGGACATAAATGCACCAATGAGTGTAACAAAAAACGACACAAGGAAACTATATAAACGGAGGACACGTAACAACATTTGTTACAGGATGGTACACATCTGGACTCGGAGAGAGAGAGAGAGGGAAGAGGGGGTTAGAGAGTCCGATTTTTAAAGATTACTGGATAAGTACTGCAACAATACAGTATTTAAGAAAATATATAACAGACCACGTGGTTGTTCTTTCTGATCAAATGTTCATCACATACCGTGCTATTTTATCTTCCTCCTGTTCACTCCGCTCTTGCTGGTATTTCCGTTTCAACTAGTCCGTCCGCACAGAGAAAGACCAAACACGCGGCTTCACTATATTTATATACATATACGAATATGTGTATGTTGCAACTGGTGTTGTCAATTTATTAGTATGACACATGTATTAATAAAGATGTCTATTTCGAGGGGTGGGGGTATTAAAATCTGTTCGAGTCATGTATAAATTGCTGAGTATTGAATATAATTTTGTTTTCTTGTTCCGAAATCGTTATATCTCCAAAGAGAAGTAGATTCAATGTAAGGAGGTGTATTCATTCAGTTCACGATAAAGTTTAATTCTCTGTTCAACATAATTATCACAGTTAAAATAAAAATGGAAGGTGTCTTCAATAGGGTAGCCACACATACAACGTTGGTCATCAACCAGGTTAACTCGAAATAGATCGTTTTTCAAAGTGCTAGAACGGTTTCCTAGTTTTGTATGTAAGATGTTATTATTTTTCTATCGCCGTAGGAAAGTAATTGGGTACATGGGGCAAATTTTTGTCTCTAATGACATTTTTAAACGACGAAAAAGAGGAGCTATATGCCTGATACGTAGAAGGAAAGTAAGACATATGTTAGATAACTCTTGTCTGTTGTTAGGCAGGTTGTAGTTTTCGGCGTTTCTAAGATTATATTGAGCATTTTCGACAAGGGGAGGGAGAAGAGTGTTCAGATAGTTAGGAGTAATATTATGATGAATTTTATAAAATAATTGCAGTTTCCGATGGGGCCTCTTGTGGGCTAGGGATTCCCATCCCGACTCAGTATATATACATGTATATAGATTGTCTACTAGCATATAAGAAGGTTAACCGGTGACAATACGTATACGTCCTGCCTCTACTTATAACTTTTCTAACTTATCTGTATCAGTAAGAGTACAACCATCCTAAACTTAACAGCAATATTCTAAAATAGAAAGTAAAAAGGTTTTTATATATCTTATTTAATGTACGGCGGTTTAGAGTATATTTCAATTTACGGAGAACATCTAATTGCTTGACTACTTTTTTTTTACAAATATTATCAATATGATAACTCCACTTACACTTAGCATCAGCTCCACTTACAGTTAGCATCAGCTCCACTTACATTTAGCATCAGCTCCACTTACACTAAGCATCAGCTCCTCTTACACTTAGCATCAGCTCCACTTACACTTAGCATCAGCTCCACTTACAGTTAGCATCAGCTCCTCTTACAGTTAGCATCAGCTCCACTTACAGTTAGCATCAGCTCCACTTACACTAAGCATCAGCTCCTCTTACACTAAGCATCAGCTCCACTTACACTAAGCATCAGCTCCTCTTACAGTTAGCATCAGCTCCTCTTACACTTAGCATCAGCTCCTCTTACAGTTAAAATCGATGAATACTCCCAGATGTTTATGATTATCAGCAAATTAAATCTAACTAACCATTTATCAGCCCACAATTGAATATTTCTTAAATCATTATTTATTTTTTGTTCTAATATTTGTGGGGATTTATCTGAACATAATAGAGAATTATCATCTGCAAAAAGTTTTGATAAGCTTTCTAAATTATCTGTTATATCACTAATATAAAGCATGAGTATCAACGGCCCTAAGACTGAACCCTGGGCTTCTCCTGCATTAGTTGTCTTAACAGAGGAGTTACTGTTTCCAAAAGATACTTGTTGAGATCTATGTGTAATATAATCAATTAACCATTCCAATAACACCCGATATTCCATAGCTAGCTATTTTCACCCCCAGCCCCCTGTGCCACACTCGATCGAATGCCTTAGAAATATCACAATAGACTAAACAGGTGGGTTGCTTTTTTTCAAGATTGTCGCACACGTTGTGGTATATACATGTATCTATAAGCTGGTGTATGGTAGAATGACCAGGCTGAAAACCTGACTGATACTTATATATCAGAGAATTATCTAAAAGGTAGTTATGTAAATGTATAGCGACTAATCTTTCAAAAACCTTACCAATAGTACTTAGCAATGCAATAGGTCTATACTTTGAGGGGTCTTGTTTATCTCCTTTTTTTAAATTGGCATCACTAGAGCAAGCTTCCATTGTCTGGGGAAAGATCCAGACTCCAAAGAAGAACGAAAGATTAAAGATAGCGGATAAGCGACTGTATTAGCGGTGTTCTTTAACATAGTATGACTAATTGTATAATTTCCTACAGCTTTACCAATTTTTTTTAAAGTTTTAAGTATGTCAATAATGTCATCAATATCAAAGGGTATGTCTGAGATAGTCGGGTCTGTTCTGGATTCTATAACAGGTACGTCTGTGTCAGTATCGTCGATAGTAGAAATAGAAGCAAAGTAGTCATTACGTATGCTAGTCTTTATGTCATCATCCATTTTTATACGACCGTCAAATGACGGTAGTATTATGGTATGGCGTTGCCCGTCCGTCCGTCCGTCCGTCCGTCCGGCGTAAACTTTGTTTGTCCGGCAATCTCCTCCTACATTTTTCGACCGATCTCTTTGAAACTTGGTATACATTATAATCATGATATGAAGTTGTGTCTCCTTTAAAAGAATTTTGATTCGACAGTTTTTCCGAAAGTTATTGCGCTTTGTTCATTTCAGTATTTGAATTTTGTCCGGAGATCTCCTCCTACATTTTTCGACCGATCTATTTGAAACCTGGTATACATTATAATCATGATATGAAGTTGTGTCTCCTTTAAAAGAATTTTGATTCGAAGATTTTTGTAAAATTTATTGCCTTTTGTTCATTTCAGTATTTGATTTTTTGTCCGAAGATTTTCTCCTACTTTTTTTATAGCACATCAGCTAACCACTCTTAGAATGATGCAGATCTTATTTCAATGTAAGAAAGTATATAACACTATATGACATTCGACGGGCGTATTTTGTTCCGCCCCGCGGTACTCTTGTTTATATTTCCAGTCGCACTCCGTATAATGGCGGTATACTAGCAGACGCTTGTGATGATTTTATTAATCTGCGGACAAGTTTTCAAATAATCTGGGATTTGTATCACTAAAATTGTCTAAAATACCGTTAATGTCCGCGTAAAATAATTATTTTGTCCTTCTGCATACCTGATTATGTTTCTCTTTATTCAAGCGCAGCGGAAATGTAAAATCAATCGATGTTTGAACTGTTAACAAAATGCTACACGCCTTACCATTGGCGTCTACAACTATATGAATAAAAAAAAGTCCAGTCTATAAAAGTTTCAAATCGACGGAATACTCATATACGTGTACAGCTATTCTTTATGTATACGTAATTAGAGTAAAGCAGAGTTGTGTCAATGCTGTCAACAATAATAATAATAATAATAATAATAATAATAAAATTTATTCATGTAAAAGGCAAATAATACACGTATATCACATTTTGCAGATTGGACATAAATATATATATTATCACAGATGTTATTTGCCATAACACTAGTAACCAGTCAGGTGTTAAAACTGGTTTGGATTAGATTAAACTAGGCCTTTACCTGTGATGACCCATAAAGCCACATTGTGGCATTAATTCCAATGGGGTCCCTTAGATCTAAATAAATCAATTCAATTTATAAAATAGTAAAATAATTATATAGTATATATTGATAATTTGATAAGACTCTAAGACACATCTTTTATAAAAATAGATATAAAATGTTACATGTGCCAAAGCTATATGCTATAACCAATAAGATAATACTGGTAATTGAATGATATAAAATATAAAGTGATTAACCATATATTGGAATTTTAACAATTAAGATATATAGTATTAACGTCAAATGTTACTTGCCAAAGGGCTGGTGGTTGGACCAAACTCTCAGACATTAACGTACAGTAATTGATTGACATGCACCGGTATATAGCTTATACTAATAAAAATAATTTGAAATAAATAAGATAGTAACAAGCGTATTCCGTTTGGAATAGTTAGAATCTGATAAAAACGATAAATTTAAACCAATTGAATTTTATTAAAATCCGTTTGCTTCTTGCAGAAGAGGGCTGTTGGTGGTTTGGCCAGTCCCTACTGACCAAACTCTCTTGCTGCATAAAGTATAATACATAGTAATTGACATTATGACATAACATCAAAAAAATGGAATGTAAATAGGATTTAAGTAAGAAGTATAATGCCTTTGAGTAATTCAATTGACAAATTTTAACAAGTTTTATTTAAATTAATTGCTACTTGCTGAAGAGGGCTGGTGGTTGGGTCAATCCCTACCGACCAAACTCTCAGAATGCATATAAAGTAACGATATAGTATCATTTAATAACAGTGTTTATGATAATATTTGAGTTGGGAAGTAATAGAGTATATCAATATCACTAAAGTCTCACCATTACCCGTTCACAAAATCACATTTTTGTTCTGATCTAAACTTTGATGTTAAATGCTGTTTGACCAGAACTTTGAACCTGTGTAAGTTGTTGGTTGCAAGCCTTAATATTATCTGGTAATGCATTCCAGTCCTTTATTGCATTGTAAGAGAAGGATGTGAACTCTACCCCACTAATATTATGTATATATGTATATATATTTATTTAAAGGCAGAAAACTGCTCCTTACGGACGAAGAAATATTATAAAAAGAAAAATTCTCAACAACGAATCTTTAGTACTTTCATCTCTTCTAGGAGATTCTTAAATTTTTTTTTTATATATATATATTTATATAAAACATATATAATATCATTGTTATGAAATCAAAAAAAAATATGACATGTTTTATGTGTTTACCACTGCCTTATCTAGACAACATACGTATTTCATCATGTTCGGTAAAGGAACTTATCAGTGTAGTGACACCAATGTCATGGGCGTCATTCACGACGACACCAATCCTGACCTCCCAGTTCGATTAACCTCGAGACTTTACCTTATAGTAACCCGTACGAAATTACGACACCAACATAACATGGTGCCACTAGATCGAAGTATGACGGTGTGTATTGCATAATCGTTGGAGGCTCTCAGTGTGGGGTCCCTTACAAGATCGAATTTTTTAACTAAATTGGTATGCAAGAGTTACATATAACTGTGAACTTCAACAGTTCCTTTACTACTTTTTATTTCATGAATTTTATTAAACATACTCGGACTATTATATTTAGAGAGGTAGCTTCGTTGGGTGGCCTACTGAATTTCTGATGTGGCATCGTTGAAAGCTAGTTCAAGCTTGTGGTGATGCATCGTTGTTGTTTCACTCACTCGCGACTTACTTTCCCGGTTGCGCACGTATTCATTCCTTAATCATAGCTACATGTACCTTGTAATCGAACCTCTCCATACTTCCAATACGAACGTTGTGCTATTTCCAATATTGACCAATACAGTACCAGCCATACCTTGAATCAAAGTTCTTTCTCCTGGAAACAGGTCATGAAAGGAAATTTCCCAAGACTGAAATTAAGCATTATTATATTAATTAACATACAACAACTATGAAACATGCTTCAGATATGCATTAACAATAAAAAATAACTCTTCTTGTCAAGGATGGAAGCGCGCATGTCTTAATGTGGGAGGAAATCAGAGTACCTGGAGAAAACCCATGATGTCGCGCAAGTGACCTCATACCTTTTCGCCACCGATTGGGGAGTCGAACCCCGGCAGTCTGAAGTGGTGAAGGGCAGGTTCGCTTCTTTTTCACCCTCCGAAAAAAAGAATATAAAAAGACATCCGTAACTGATTTTCGGTAAGTTCTTTCGATGTGCTTTCATGTGGAAAAATAATTTAAGCATTTTGTTTTATCAATCACCATATTTACCAGGCGCGTCTATATATCTAAATATTGTTTACAATACATGTATAATGCTATTTAATCGATCAAGATTGGTACATATCACGACAAATAGCACACCAAAATGACTATAACGTGCATCACGATAACTATGGAACGCCAATTTAACAGATATATATTCAATTAATTGTACCTATCTTCAAATGATTGAAGATAGGTATAATTAATTGAAGATAGGTACAATCACGGACTTAAAGCTAATTCCGTGGTACAATTAATTGAAGATATAGGTATACATGTACATAGATACATTTATTTTTACAATATTGCATCAAGTCTAAGATTAGTCCGTGTTCCAGTCGATTAAGATACGTTATTTTGACGTTAAAATAATAAAACAGAGGCTAATAAGAAATTGGCCCCTGGATATACATCTCTGATATATATATAACTAACCAGATCTATGTAGGTAGTACGTACGTATGCTCATATTGGTGATTCGGGATATCTCGGGATTGTACCTATTGCGCAAGCGTTTCATAGTTTAGTAACCTCTTAAGCTTGTTAGTGTCAATACTACCAGTGTGTGGGGCCGTCTGATCAGTGTGCCGACAATGGCGTGGACTGTGCTTTTATTGTGGACAATATGTGTGTGTTTGACTTATGGCCAGCAAGATTCCTACTCCAGTCTCATGGAGGGATTACATAATCTGCCAGAACGAGCGGCACAAACGCAACTTCTACAGTCGCAGATAATGAATTCGGATTACACAAAGCCCGGAGTTCGTCTGTATTCAATGACCTCGATGTTGTCCCCATTGAAAAGGGACAGTTTTCTGTCGTCTCTCGAAGCCGCACTCCCCCTCCTCAGGGCAAATATAACCCAGTACAATGTTTCCGAGACATGCCTAAACCACACCGAAAAATTCGTGATTGGGTTGGTGGAGCGACAGATGTGGAGTTTCAGAAGTAAGTTAGCCGTATATTTCAGCTGTATTTAACGTGCCACATATATTGACCCTAGCCATTAACCTTAGCCAACCTATTGAATATAGGCCTACACTGTTATGATTTAATGATCTTTAGTTGGTGATCAAACTTTTTTTTGTCTTATATTTTATAATATCTGTCTCTGAGGAAAGAGATTGTATCGCAGTGATAAGATTACATGAATATTTAGAGTCTAATAAGTGTCCAAAACAAGTTAAATACAGTACCACGGTTAGATCTAAGTCCGTGACAGTACGTACTAATACATAAACTGATCTGTATTCAGTTATAGTCAGACAAGTGCCAATTATTTAATTGACACTTTACTACATTTATGTGCATGACATGTGCATCCATATTTTTTAATATGATGTCGAGAAGTTGTGGCTATATTTTTATAGTCTATATCACGGACTTAGATGACAATCTAATTCCGTGGCTATATATATAGATATGTGTAATGGCTTTGGTACTGTGACTCGATCATAGGCTGATGAGTCTCATCTCATTCAATGATGAAATAAATGTCTTAATAAAAATATATCAAACACACAAAATGTTTAAAATGTGCAATAACCCAGAGCTTATAGATATATAACTTCTAGGTTTATTCAATGTAAAATCATATTGTTATAATTTTCTTTCTGTTGTCAAATCATTGATCGCCAAAAAGCTTCAGTTATGTATGGTAGGCCTACTTACCGGTTTATACCAGTATTATACCTTCAATGGATCCGGAGTGCCTTGTGATCAGGGGGAGGTAATCAAGGTAAATGGAAGACTATTAAGTGACATAAAAAAAACCACCAAGACACTGGTATTGGGGATCAAATGATAGCTATATATCCCTGCTATATATGCCCCCTAAGAAACTGACTGTCACTGAAATAAGTTACTTGTCACAAAATTTCTCATCTATCTTAAGCTTGTCCCTGACAGTACCTCTTGAGACGGCAGAGTGTTGCATACTGAAATCGGTCCTCGTGGTCTCTGTAGAGTTATGGCCTATACATTCTTGCAGAGACGTATACGTCTCTGGTTCTTGATACCAAATCTTGTCTGGAGATAGATCGAGGGTTTTCACTACTTTGTCTTGTTAAACAGTAACTTTTCTTTGTAAAGTCATCTATGGTTGAGAATTTGGTTGGATTAGAATAATCTGTCTTGCTGGGCATTAGCAGCATTTAAATTTGTATGAATCTGTATAGTTTCTTTGCTTTTTTGCCTGCATTCACCAAACTATATCTTGTATAGGGAAAGTGTCACATATACTTAAGATGGGTTGCATAATTGCATGCCCAAGAATTATGACCCTTTATATTTTTGTAAAAGTATTTGCAATTTTTTATATTGTCTAGACATGTTGCAACCATGCATGAACAATTTTGATATGGCTGTACTTTCTCCATTCAACAATGTTAAGTTTAATTTCTTACAACTTTAAAATTTATAGAACTTATATATTGAAATGATAAAGTTTTGATACACACATGTATGTACATGTTAACTCATGATCAGTCTACCCAGGTTTAATGTGCTAGATATTGACACTCCTGTGCAAACAGATTCCCGTTCTTACCTCCATAGAAATTACTTGTACCTGTACTTGTACCTGTCCAATAGAGATATATGTCCTAGTTTACAACACTAAATAAGCTTAAGCCAGGTTCACATTTGAACTTTGCTGGAGTGTATTTCATCATTTCCTAACATAATATCAGTGAACCAGAATACTGTGATGTCACTTACATAATATCAGTGAACCAGTATGCTGTCTTGTCCCTAACATAATATCAGTGAACCAGTATATATATGGTGTCTTGTCCCTAACATAATATCAGTGAACCAGTATGCTGTCTTGTCCCTAACATAATATCAGTGAACCATGCTATGTTGCCCAAATAACACAAATATTCATTTGTTTCTACGTTGTCTATAACCTAATATCAATGTGTGCTGTGTTGGCACTAACAAAAATACTAACGTATTTCTATGTTGTCGCATTAACATAAATATTAATTTGTGTCTGTGTTGTCCCTACATAACTATCAATATGTGCTGTGTTGTCCTACATAACTATCAATGTGTGCTTGTTGTCCCTACATAACTCAATGTGTGCTGTGTTGTCCCTACCTAACTATCAATGTGTGCTGTGTTGTCCCTACATACATTTTAACTATCAATGTATGCTGTGTTGTCCTACATAACTATCAATGTATACTGTCTTGTCCTACATAACTATCAATGTGTGCTGTGTTGTCCCTACATAACTATCAATGTGTGCTGTGTTCTCCTTACATAATTATCCATGTGTGCTGTGTTGTCCTACATAACTATGAATGTGTGCTGTGTTGTCCTTGCATAACTATCAATGTGTGCAGTATTGTCCCTACATCACTATCAATGTATGCTGTGGTGTCCCTACATAACTATCAATGAATGCTGTGTTGTCTCTATACATAACTATCAATGTATACTGTCTTGTCCTACATAACTATCAGCGTGTGTGCTGTATTATCTTATATAACTATCACTGTGTGCTGTGTTGTCCCTAAATAACTATCGATGTGTGCTGTTTTGTCCCTATACATAACTATCGATGTTTTCAATGTGTGCTGTGTTGTTCTTACATAACTATCAATGTTTGCTGTGTTGTCCCTTTATAACTATCAATGTATGCTGTGTTCCCCCTACATAACTATCAATGAATGCTGTGTTGTCTCTATACATAACTATCAATGTATGCTGTGCTGTCACTACATAACTATCAATGTATTCTGTGTTGTCCTACATAACTATCTATGTGTGCAGTATTGTCCCTACATCACTATCAATGTATGCTGTGTTGTCTCACATGAATATCTTTGTGTGCTGTGTTGTCCCTAAATAACTATCGATGTGTGCTGTTTTGTCCCTATACATAACTAGCAATGTATGCTGTGTTGTCTCACATGACTATTAATGTGTGCTGTGTTGTGCCTACATAACTATCAATGTCTGCTGTGTTGTCCTACATACCTATCAATGGGTGCAGTATTGTCCCTACATCTCTATCAATGTATGCTGTGTTGTCCCTATACATAACTAGCAATGTATGCTGTGTTGTCCCTGCATAACTATCAATGTATGCTGAGTTGTCCCTATACATAACTAGCAATGTATGCTGTGTTGTCTCACATGACTATTAATGTGTGCTGTGTTGTCCATACATAACTATCAATGTATCCTGTGTTGTCCCTACATAACAATCAATGTATGCTGTGTTGTCTCACATGACTATTAATGTGTGCTGTGTTGTGCCTACATAACTATCAATGTGTTCAGTGTTGTCCTTACATAAATATCAATGTGTACAGTGTTGTCATTACATAACTATCAATGTGCGCTGTGTTGTCCCTACATACATGTTAACTATCAATGTATGCTGGGTTGTCCCTACATAACTATCAATGTATGCTGTGTTGTCCCTATACATAACTATCAATGTATGCTGTGTTGTCCCTTCATAACTATCAATGTGTGCTGTGTTGTCCCTACATAACTATCGATGTGTGCTGTGTTGTCCCTATACATAACTATCGATGTGTGCTGTACATGTATTGTCCCTACTGTGGCGGATAACTATCAATGTATGCTGTGATGCTCCCTACATAACTATCAATGTATGCTGTGATGCTCCCTACATAACTATTAATGTGTTGCCATATTTCAGTGTTGGATGCTGTAGGCAAGCCTCCTAGTGCTCTTTTGAATTTCAACCTGAACTGGTTTGGATCGTATGAAGAGTGTAAAAATATTACAATCCCAGCATTCCGAGGGAAATACTGCTCTGTCAACTTTCCGCTGGTTAAATCTAATGGCAGTGCACAAGACACTCCTGTAAGTATGATTACACTGTCCCATAGCTACTATTGTCGTCACTTCTACAATAATTATCAGTTTTCTAAAGTGAACCTCCTTAATGTAATTAAAATTAGACCTTTGTATTGCTCCCTTTTATTGATATGTTGAGACATCATATTAGTAAACATGAGCGATCTGAAGATCTAACCTTTATTACACTAAAACCCCTTAGATACAACATCCAGTGAGTCCATTGTAAGTGTAATAACATGTCCTTCGTAGATATGACAATGATATCCTCTGATGGCATTACTATATTTTCCTTAGATACAGCATCTCTCAACTCTATTTTTAATGACATATTAGAACTCCATATATAGATGCAACATCTTTTCTTGTAGTTACTGTATACTTCGATGTTATTTCTACTGTAAGACAAATCCACAAGTTCAACATAACGCCTTATATTTGTAGTCGCATATTATTATAGAATTAATAATCTGGATGAAACAAGGAGCTTCCTCCTTACTTAATTTCAATATATGCTATTTGAGAATATTTTCTTTTTTTCTCAGGTTGCCATGGGAATGGGTATACTCCCAGGTGTCAACATTGGAGTGTGTGTGCCTGACAGCTGTAGTGGAGAGGATGTTTCCAACCTCATTAACACAGGTAAAACAGAGGCTGTCAGTAGAAATCTGTCTATTGGAGATAACTTCTTTGTCATGTTGGTATGATCTGCTGGGCTAACATACTTATTTGACCATGACCTTTGACATTGACCTCATTGGTTAAGTTTTTTTGTGTTAAGGACACTAATTATGCATGATTATTGCAGTTAGGGTCATGCAACTTAACATTTACTGTTTTTTTCTGTGAGTACAGCATGTTACATGACTTTTGTAACCTTGACATTTGACCTTAGCCTCTGTGACCATGCTTTAGTTCTTAACTTCTTGTATGTGGAAATTGGGCATCTGTGTCTTACAGACGCATTTCTAATTTCTCTCAATATGTCTGTGATTTTTCAGTGTTTTCTGTGACCCTTGATACGATAGATACTGGAAGTTTGACCCTGGATGCTGGCAAATCAATATGTCAGGAAAATGAACTGGAGCTTGATACAAAAGCCATTGTAGTATTGTAAGTCTATTTGCTAATTGTGTTCAACTGTTGTGTTGTGAGAGTACTGTTTAGTTTGAGTGCTGAGTTCTTCTTAGGACATGTGTGTCTATAGCTGTGAAGTACGTTGTATACAAGTGTACATGTGTATGTGAACTTCTTACTGAATTGAATAATACAAACACAGTATGAAAATATACTATGATAGATTGTGAGTTTTTTTTACAAATGATTGGTGCTGTAGCAAAAGTCTAAGATATCATTCTATTTTAATTTTTTACTTTGTAATATAAAAAAATAGTTGTCAAAATAAATCGCTTACTGATTGTGATATAAATTGATATCCAGAACTTGATATTAAATAATTTCATCTTTGAATTTTAAAGAATTTCTGAATTATGTAATTAAGTTAAACACTGAAAAATAACTTTTCTGCTAAACCTCTAATTTGTTAGTCCTCATGTCTGTCAGAAAAAAATGCTGTTAAATTTCCTGGCCAGCCATATGATATAAATGCTGCTCTCTGAATGCTTTGTGGTACTGTACAGGGTGATAGCCAGCCTGTTCCTGGCCCTGATGGTCATAGCTACACTGTACGACCTGGTGTGTATACAATGGCCAACGGACAAGCTCCAGGAATATGAGACAATCACAAATGGTGGTGCAACCTTCACCCACAAGATAAAGGGTGACGAGGGAGAGACACAGCCCCTTCTAGGGGCCCCTGATGTAGAGAGCATAAAGGCACCAGGTAATGATCTAACTGTTTTAGCTAAAATCTACAAATATTCCCTCCTCTTGGCCTATGCAGTAGGGAGTTTGGATGCATCAGGTTATGGTTATAGCTAGGTAAAATCTAAAAATATTCCTTTGTACTTTTAAATACCACATCTTTTTCACTCATATGGAAGAATATACTTGCTTAGGTATATTTTTATTTGTGCTTCATACACATGAAAAAGAATAATTTGGTAGTCTGCCATTCTCATAAAAAAATATAAAGTGTTGAAAGGGAAACCATTGTGTATCCTCTATTTTATTGTTTATATAGTATTTGTGATGATGATAATTTGAACATTCTTTTACTCCCGTGAACCAGATGTTATGCTCTCTTTAGGCACAGTTTAGCTCTTTTTATATTAAAGCATTAAACACACAATCCATGTTCTTTTGAAATATTATTTTGATTTTAAAAATAATCCATTTGTTTGGAATAAAAATGTCAATTTGTTTGAAAGCAAACCTTTTTAAATTTATGGTTAAACATTGAGCATATGCAGTTTAATACAGCAACACATGATATATGTTCCTTAGTACGGTTAGTTTAGCAACAATATCTTATTTTAAGTTAGACTATAATGCAAAAGCCTCACCAACCAGTTGCAAAATGTTGCACCCTCCTTTCAAAATTCCTGGATCTACCCCTGACTCATAGCTATCAGTACACATATGAAATAGGGCTTGGGAATAATGAGTGTCATTTAGGTAAAGTTTATGAAGTGGTTTGTAAGAAAGAGAGGAAATTTGTGTTGTTGCACTTGTTTGATATAGTTGAAGATAATGAGGCCTAGACATGAGAATAATCAGTGGATATCCAATCTTACATTCCGATTCATTTTTGTCTCCTTGCAGGAATGCTTGGTCAGGCCCTGTTGGCCTTTTCAATTTACTCCAACGCCTGTAAGATCCTGAATACCCATCAAGGATCAGGCTCTATCACATGTATGAACGGCGTACGCTTCCTTAGCATGAGCTGGGTGCTTTTGGGCCACAGTTTTGCCTTTGGGTTAGGCATGGGAGGTAGGAAGCAACAGCGTTGATAAAATTACAGCTGCGATTTGACTCCATGCAAGATCCCCAATCAAATCAACGAGAAGAATTATTTTCCCCATTTATAACTGATTTTTATTTTCAACAATTTTACGTAAACAGTTACAGATTTGTTCGTGTTTGGTAAATAATAGTCTGTTAATTACTCAAGTTAGGTTAAGCGAATTTCCTAGTCATCATATCAATTAGAGGAAGCAAACTGGTAAGTACATGTTTTATTCCATATACTGTTAAGTTATGTAAAATACTTATGATAGTCTATAAACAGCTGTTTGGTTATTGATACATATTATATATTTTACATTTGGTTAGGCTTTTTTTTCTTCTTAGATAATGTGTTTAAGCTCACCTAGTCCTTCTTGTTATATTTTTCGACAGACAACCTGCTGACATTTTTACCTGAGATGGTAAAGACTTGGACAGCCCATGTCATATTAAATGCTCTTGTGTCTGTCGACTCATTCTTCACTATCAGGTATGTCAAATTACCCCTGGATATAGCTACATATCTGTCTGTCTTCATCTTCACTATCAGGTATGTCAAATTACCCCTGGATATAGCTACATATCTGTCTGTCTTCATCTTCACTATCAGGTATGGTAAATTACCCCTGAATATAGCCACATATCTGTCTGTCTTCATCTTCACTATCAGGTATGTCAAATTACCCCTGAATATAGCTACATATCTGTCTGTCTTCATCTTAACAATCAGATGTCTGACAACTCCTGTTAAAGTTACACTTGTCTGTTGACATCTTTACAATCAGATGTATGGCAACTCCTGTTAAAGTTACACTTGTCTGTTGACATCTTCACAATCAGATGTCTGACAACTCCTGTTATAGTTACACTAGTCTGTCTTCATCTTCACAATCAGATGTCTGACAACTCTTGTTATAGTTACACTTGTCTGTTGACATATTTACAATCAGATGTCTGACAACTCCTGTTATTAATAGTTACACTTGTCTGTTGACATCTTCACAATCAGATGTCTGACAACTCCTGTTATAGTTACACTTGTCTGTTGACATCTTCACAACCAGATGTCTGACAACTCCTGTTATAGTTACACTTGTCTGTTGACATCTTCACAATCTGATGTCTGACAACTTCTGTTATAGTTAAACATTTTTTTACTGACATCTTCACCATAAGATGTATGACGACAACACTTGTGATAGTTAAACTTGTCTGTCGACATGATCACATGTCCACATTATATCAAACGGAGAGATGAATGAGAATGATAAGCTGTAATAATTTAACACCCTGACAAAATATTCCTGTTTATGACTTCAGTGGTCTACTCTTGTCCTACCTCGTCCTCAAGGAGATGAAGAAAAAGAATGGCAAACTAAACTGGGGCATGTTTTACTTTCACCGATTCTGGAGGTAAGTCCACCATACAGCTAAGCGTCCACCAAACGGCTAGGCGTCCACCATAGAGCTATGCATCTACCATACAGCTAGGCGTCCACCAAACAGCTAGGCGTCCACCAAACGGCTAGGCCTAAAACATCATGGAGTTTTAAGTTGGTATCAAGTACCACAAGTATTCTGTAATAAGCCCAGGAGGTCAACTCGATCTCCTTCTCAAAGTAGTGGGTTGGGCCAAACAGGATAATGAAATAGAATTAGTTTGCTTTTCTACTTAACTGTTATAGGTTTGGTTGGGCATACAATTATGATCATGTGTGGGCTTATTGTCAGACTAATACAATTAGTGTAAAACAGGGTATCTCAGCTACAAAGTGTTTAAATTTAAGATCGACCTTGCTATACTTGTTGCTGTGATTACGTTTATACAGATTGACCCCACCATACATGTTGCTGATGATAGGGTATCTCAGCTACAAAGTGTTTAAATTTAAGATCGACCTTGCTATTCTTGTTGCTGTGATTACGTTTATACAGATTGACCCTACCAGACATGTTGCTGATGATAGTGATTTGGTTTATACAGATTGACCCCACCATACATGTTCCTGATGATAGTGATTACGTTTATACAGATTGACCCCGCCATACATGTTCCGGATGATAGTGATTACATTTATACAGATTGACCCCGCCATACATGTTCCTGATGATAGTGATTATGTATATACAGATTGACCCCACCATACATGTTCCTGATGATAGTGATTACGTTTATACAGAGTGACCCCGCCATACATGTTGCTGATGAGAGTGATTATGTTTATACAGATTGCCCTGACCATACATGTTGCTGATGCTAGTGATTATGTTTATACAGATTGACCACGCCATACATGTTGCTAATGATAGTGATTATGTTTATACAGATTTACCTGACCATACATGTTGCTGATGATAGTAATTATGTTTATACAGATTGACCTGACCAGACATGTTGCTGATGATAGTGATTATGTTCATACAGATTGACCCGACCATACATGTTGCTGATGATAGTGATTATGTTTATACATATTGACCCCGCCATACATGTTGCTGATGAAAGTGATTATGTTTATACAGATTGACCACGCCATACATGTTGCTGATGATAGTGATTATGTTTATACAGATTGACCCGACCATACATGTTGCTGATGATAGTGATTATGTTTATACAGATTGACC